GAAAAGGTTGTATGTGCTTATACTCTAATTGAAACCATTTTGCAGGTTCCCTGAATATATGAAAGATTCCTAAATTCTGCTGAGGTGTTTCATTGAAGGCAAGGAGAATACACACTGAAGGCATGGAGAGCGCCTAATAACAGCGTCACAGCGTCCCAGGACAGCATCACGCCCAGGCAGATGGTCAGGGGAACGTCACACAGCGCAGGCAGTTCCACCTTGCCTTCCTTCAGCCATTTTTATCATCTGTTCAGCACACCACAAAAATTGCAAAACCCAGCCTAGAGGAGAAGCTCCCCAACAAAGACAAAACTGCCATTTTCTCCGAAAAGGAAGGAGCAAGAAGGTTTCCAATAATTGCTCCTGCCAGAGCAGCGCTGTGCCTAGAACTACCTCTTTGCTGCCAGGTAAGAATGTGACAAACCGACATGATCTGTACGTGTGTCGACCATAGACCTGCTCTGAGCAGGAATTTGGACTAATGACCTGTAGAGGTTCCTTCCAGCCAACACTGTTATGATAATATGACTACGCTTTTAAAACAAGATGTGCAAGATGATCACTTTCACACATTATCATGCCAAAACATCTGGCATGAAATAACTATCCGTCTCCTGCAATTTCATACATAGTAGACATGACACATTTCATTACTGTAACTAAAATGTACCCTCAAATTGAAGCATTCCTATTACTCTCTTCTGAAGTATTTTTTCCTCTTTTTTTTTTTTTCCAAGAAAATACACAAACTCAGCTTAAATCAGCAAACAAGTTCATCTTCTTTTAGTACATTCTATAGCTAAAACTTTGGTAAGCTTTGTTAGAAGCTAAGACTTGATCTAAGTGAAGTGTTTCTTCAGAATGTTTCTGCTGCCTAACATTATACTGTGTTTTTACTGGTAGCAAATATTTCTGAAAAGGAAACTCATTAAACACCTGTATTTACTTAGTTCTTTGTTGTTTGAAAGTCAGCTGGCAATGCAAAGATACCAAGTTTCTCCTACATCACCCAATCTAAGAAAACTCCAGGGAACGCCAGTTTGGACCTGCTTGGTTCACACTTCTTGCTAAGACTGCTAACTTCAAAGGCTCTCATACAAATCCATACCTGGATAAGAAGGGGATGTGTGGGCCATCGGTCAATTATACTCCACTTCATCTTCGGCTTCTCCCCTTTTTTATTATAGTAGCGATAAATGGCATTTAAACTGCTTCCTGAAATAGAATTAAAACGTAAGTTCAGCCAAGGCATTAGCAACCTGTCAGATTAAAACAGTTTTGTAGCAAGGTATTATAATATTTTAAAATGCTACATATTTAAAATGCAACCATAAATCAGAACTGAGAGCCTCAAATGAGAACAACTATACCAAAGTTCATACAACGTGCCAATGATATTGAAGTTCATACAATGTACAAGCCAAGAACAATTTGCTAAACCATTCTTTAACTGAAGAACAATTACTGTTCTAGTTTCCATGAAGAAAGCTCACTCAGTCGTGTTCCCAAGCCTCCAGTTTATGTTATCTCACAGTAACAACAGTAACATAAAGCTATCCTTAGTTAAAAAGTTTTTACCTAAAATTTGGAATTATAGTAAATACAGAATCCCTGGAGTGGGCAATGACGACAACAGGAAGGGGGGCTCGGAGGAAGAGAGCACTGACACTCCGGACGCTCCCTCAGCATGCGCCGACGTTCGCCTCCGTGCGTGCTCCGCTCCCACACGGACACTCACCTGTGGTAGAACAACTGTACTGTGGGTACTGCGTGAAAGCGATAGCCCGTTCAATCCCATCCTTCTCCATCTCTTCAATTGCTTCTTCTGTCAGAGGGTGGACGTACCGGAAGCCAATGTAGTATTTGTGAGGCGCTGCCAGCCAAAGCACACAAAAAGCAATTGCAGAAAAAAACGCAAGAACTCTCAATAACAGGTCATTAATAAGTACAAAGTACAAAACCAGACAGACTGAAATTGTCGAAATAAACTCGATAGTTTTCTGGCTACTTTTCTAAGCCACTGCCATACAAACACATCTTTCTTTAGCCAAGTATTTTTCTGGTAACTCACTTTGCTGTTATTAGAAATTAAAAGTGATTGATACTATTGTTTGCTTCTGCAGGTAGCATCGCTCTTCTGCTTTTACTTAGTTTAGCAGAGGTGTTGTTTCCAGACTGTACAGAGCTCTGATGTTTTACTGGGCAAGTTCTGATTTAAAGGATGTATTGCTAAAAAAAAGTGTCACTAAATGAACACTACTATGCTGTAACGCAGACCACAGTTACAGATGTGCTATGGGCTTCCTGACAGCACAGTTCAACTCGTTTACTGAAATCAGAAGTCAGGTGTTTTAAATACACCATGTAACTAAAATGCCAAAATCTTAGGAAGGACAAGGCCTTCTTCATTCTGCTATACAAAAGGAAACACATTGCTTAAGCGGTTCGCACATTTCAGGAAATTTTATTTATCTAAACTTTCAAACATAATTGGGTTGCAATTTTGTGTGACAGCACCGAGATGTTCTGCTCTACAGGGATCAGCTTCAAACGGGAAAAGGCCCTGCACCTTATAGACATCAGCTACCTATAAAGCATTTCAAGAAAACCAGGTAATTTTCTCCCTTTCATCCTCCAGGCGCCAACAGAGAAGTTACCAAAGAAGGATGCCTTCAGTGCATGAAGGGTTCATACGCCTTTGCTGGATCAGGCCCTCAGCCCCAGCACTGCAGGGGTGCTCAGGCAGAATTCCCAGGTACCGACCGTTTGCTCCACATCCCCTCCCTTCCTTGCCCTCTAACTCCTCTTCCAGCTTCAGCAAAGACCTGGCTGCCTTGCATTTCCCTCACCTACTCTATCTTTTCCTTCACCGTATTACACAGATTTAATTCTATTTCGCTTCCTTCCCCTTCCTTGCCTCCAGCTGATCACATTAAAAAACAAACCTAAAACCCAAGACAAAGTGGAACCACTGCTTGATGCAACTGCTCTGCTCACCGTCCTCGCAAGAGAAGATGCCTTCCTCCAGCCTGGTAAGTCTGCTCCGTTTGCACATAAGGCCCCAAGCACCACGACTATTGTGTGGGGCAGGAGATCAGTGATACCGAATCAGGGACACATGCTCTTTCATTCTGCTTTCTGGGTGTTTTTCATAGAAATCTTCATGTCTTTAAACACCTTATTTTGGAAGCAATATTATCCTCTTCAAGCACAGCACTTTAGGTTTTTCTGTTTTCCATCTCTACTCTATTTGGTGTTGGCTTCGAGGGTTGGGGAGTATGGTTTGCTTAGGGAGAGCGAGGAAGGGGAGGTCTGCTGTTTTATTTCAGGTTGTTTGTTTTCTGGTTTTTTGTTTTGTTTTTTAAGTAGAGGTCAGAGGTTCTTAGGAGAAGAAAAGCAAAGTTTCTTTTTCAGGGTTTCTGGGTCACTAGCTCTGAAATAACATTTAACAGGTTTCTGAAGGAAGCAGATGTCCCATGCTTGGTCTCCACTCCATACAGTCACGCAGGATTCAGAAAACAGGTTTAGTCAGCCCCAGTTCTCTGCAGGAGGCAAGAAAGCTCCCAGCCGGGAGCAGCAGCAAATAATGACCCAACTTCAGGAGCTCCAGGAGCCGGTAACCTCATTAACATTTTTAAATGCATTAAAAACAAAAGTCTGACTAACCAGAGGAAAGACAGTAGGAGTTTAACCTGAGAAAGGACATACTGCAAAAAAACATGGCCAACCTGGACACTTCTTGCAACACTCTCGCAGTGTTATATTTTGTTCTGGATCACAGGCAGTAAAGGAGAGATGGTCATGTCTGCACACATATTCATTTTGTTGTTGCAGTTAGTCAGAACTACCAGAAACAGAGTGACATCTTGTCCGAGTTTTGGCTGGGATAGAGTTAATTTTCTTCCTAGTAGTCCATATAGTGCTGTGGTTTGGATTTAGGATGAGACTAATGTCAATAGCACGGATGCTTCAGTTGCTGCTGGGCAGCGCTTACCCTAAGTCAAGGACTTTTCAGCTTCTCATGCCGTCCTGCCAGCGAGGACGCTGGGAGGGGACACAGCCAGGACAGCTGCCCCCAGCTGCCCAAAGGGATATTCCATACCATAGGACGTCATGCTTGGCTTACAAACTGGGGGGAGGTGGCTGGGGGGTGGCAGCCCGCTGTGCAGGGCCTGGCTGGGCATCAGTCAGTGGGTGGTGAGCAATTGCATTGCTTATTTTGTATATTCTCTTATCATTATTATTATCTTCCCTTCCTTTTCTGTCCTATTGAACAGTCTCTATCTCAACCCACGAGTTTTACCATTTTTCTGATTCCCTCCCCCACCCCACTGGGGGGGGAGCGAGCGAACGGCTGTGTGGTGTTTAGCTGCCTGCCAGGTTAAACTGCAACACATCTCCTTCCACGAAGAGCTGCCAATCTAAAGAAACGATGTGGCCCCCTCATCCTGTGAGCTTTCATTCTGCTGACAAGGGAATCTCCGCTAAAATACAGCTTGTAAGAAACACTAAGAGCCATTATAATTAAAAACATTTTTAAAAAGCAAGATGTGCCTTCTTGCTATGGTAATTATATTTTAAGACATTAGCCTATTTGATGCCAGCAATAAAAAAATAAAAAAAAACCCCACGCAACAATAGAAATGGATTTTCCTATCATCATGTTTGTGTGATTTATTCTTACAGACTGCTGAGCCTACCCAACCCTACTCGTTCAGAAAGGAAGAACACTTGTTCTTTTCCAGCCTGTAACAATAAAGCTTCATTTTAAAATTATATTGTTCCCAGATGACATGGGTGAAGCTGTTTATTTACTACTTTATATTAGTCCCACTGCCAAAGTATAACATGTGAAATGTATAGTACAAGCCAGTAAATCAGTGGATTGATTAATTTACACAGGAGGGAATTTCACAGGTGGTTATTGATACTGCCTAACATGAGCTCTTCACCAACTGCAAATACAGAGCAACTATAAACTCCAGGCCCCAAAAGTCCACATCAAGGTAAAACAAGCACGCAAAGTACTACTTCTTTGCCCTGTGTTTTGAGTCTTATCACCACAGCCCGCGAGTTACTCATTAACAGAGCTCAGCCGGGAAGCACATCCAACTGCTTCAAGCTATTCGGAAGAAGACAGTGCTCGGTATCGCTGCAAGGTTACTTGAAATGCTTAAGGAAGCGGTTAGCACTCAATTCAATTGTCAGCGCTGGTTAGCACATTCCGTTTTTAAAACTGCAGCTACCGTTAGGTAAAAAAGGAGGTCTCTAAAGGACTTATCAGGTGCAATAACTGCACAGAGGCAAGCGTGACTTCACAGAAAGTGGTCACCAAACAAAAGCGAGTGGGAGTGGTACACTGAGAAAAGCAGATAAACTTTCCAAGCTTTATCTTCAGAACCTGTTGTAAGCCTGAACCTTCAGGGGTTACTGCTGCTAAAAACACTACTGCCTTGGATGCCACGGCTGGGTGCGGTTTCAGCTTCAGGTTTTGACTACACTTGCAGGGACCAGAGCTGGAATTAACCTAGAGAGTAGCATCTGTGGAAAAAAGGATCAAACACCACCCGAACAGAGGTATCAGCGACACGTTACATGCTGAACGAATGAAATAAATTTGCTTCTAGCCTTCCAAGATTGTTACTTTTCACCTTCCAGACCCTTTTACCAGCCTTCTACCTCTAGCCCTTTTCTACCCATGCCTGAAGCAGCTGCCACAAAGAACTACAAAATAGCTAGGAATGAAATAACGTGTATTGTCAAATGTGGAGGGGGATTCCCTGACACACCAGCATCACGCCAGCCAAGGTCACGGAAACTGAAGGGAGAAGGCGGCTTGCAGCACCACGCATTGTAAAGCTGCTGAGCTGAAGAGAATGGAGAGCTCACCTCTTTGGCTTCTCCTACTCCAGCAGTTTTTCTATTAAACATGTTTAGTGTTCCTATCGGAGTGGCAGGATGAGCAGGATTATCTGTAGCTAACACATCAGTGAGCAGTTCAGTGGGCAGCTTAGTGATCTTGTTGATTCCTTCTACTCACAAAGGTAGTCTGCTGCTTCAAGAACAAAAAGCATAATGCAGAGAAATACCTTTTTGGAACAAAGGTGACTCCCAGAGAGGTCATCTCAGATGACATTACTGTTTCTCCTGGCTTTTGTCAAAGCAGTGGGGATACTATGTCTTTTTCTGTCTGTTCCTTGAGAGGTGAGACACAGAAGATGGCCATCACCCCTGAGCTGCTATGTGAATGTGGAAGTCTGATCTCTAGTCCTGCTACTCAAGTTTATCAACGCCATGGTTTTAATGTCACACAGCAAGGAACTGCAGCATAAGAGGTACTGTAAGCAAACGACCTATCACCTTCAGCAAGCAGCAGAAGAGAAACAGACTTCTACGTTCATCATAGCTGTGAACCGAGCAACAATACAAGCTGAAGTCAAATTCAGCTAACAACCAATGTGAAAGCGGTTTAGCTAAACTGGTGCAAATTCCCCCATGAATGCACTTCAACGGGGTGAAAAATGACTCATGTCAATTTGGTTGGAGGTTTTAGGAGAGAGATCGAACATGGCTGAATCACAGCAACTTAACATTACGCAAATGACCACGGTTGTCTGTGTTTGCACACACAGCCCACTGCACTGCACGGTAAAACGCGCTAGCTGAAGCCCTTTAGTACAAGGACATGCACAGAAACATCTGCACCCATTTCCCATCACACTGGTGCTACCAGGTACCTCGGTACAGGGTAATCCATACAAGTCACAGCTCCTTGTGAGGGAGCAAGGCTCAGAGAGATTCTGCGATCCAGAGAGAGGGGAGGGAGGTTGTATTCACCTTTCAAGTTTTCTTATCATCAAGGAAGAACTCGCATTTACCTCCAGTCAGGCCAAACTGTTAGGCCTTATCTCCTGCTCATGTCCTCGGGTGGGGCTCACTGCTATCCCTCAACCAAGCCCTGCAACGTTCATCTACAAAACATTGTCTTTTCTTCCAACCGACCTCCTCTTCAGTCCTGAAATCAGGCCTAATTGGTGTGTGTTGTTTTATCCTTTATTAATAGTTAAAGACTCAAAGTTTCAAAAGCTCTGGATACATCCGAGCAATAACTGCAGAGGGACATTTCAGAGGAATGAAAGATACCTGCGGCTGTGGAGAGCCGTCAGACTCCCAACACTTTCCCATGCAGTCACCTATTCTTTAGGCTCAGGCTGGCATAACAAAGGCAAACACAAAAGGCTTTATAGCGTTAAGTTCTGGCCTCAGAGCTGTTCTACATCAGACAGTCCCTGCACAGTGTCCCGGCCAAGCTGGCCCTGATGAGGGAAGGGCACTTGCAGGAAGCAGCAGGAGCAGGGAATGCTGCGCTGCCCTCCCAGCCCTACCTGCTGGCTGCTGCGAGCGTGTGGCAGCCACAAGAAGCTGGCCGTGGGTTTTACAGCAGGAGATCCCACCCCCCTGTGAAACTCAATAGCACCACTGTGCAGAACATGGACGACTAGGAAACCCTAGATCCACAGGCGGTTTTTACTCCGTGTGTGTGCACGCACACGCATGGCCCAAGAGGATCATCATTCTCCCACTCTACCTCTTCATAAAAGGTAAGAGAATTACATGAGATTATATTGCCACTGCCAACAGTCAAAAATCCCCACCTCATCTATGCTAGTGAGAATGCCACTCTGAACACCCTTCTCCCATGCCTGCCTCTTTTATCCACATGAAATACATTCCCCTTTCTTATCATCTAAGGCTCAACCACTTGTCTTCAGTGCAGACTTCTTCATGCTCAGGCACGGCTTACCCTTGCAGTCGTACACACCAACAGAGACTCCTGTCACCTAGCTTTAGGCATCTAAAAATAAAGACACTTTATCTGTCACAGTCATCTAGATTTCTTCCCACAACCAAAGCAGAGAGAGGAATGTACCTTTAGAGGGTGAGCCCGCCCTTTGGTAACGAGCTTAGGACAAACTGAATCACTTTCTCTCCAAGCCCTACTCTCCCTCAATGAAAGATGGAGCAGAGACCACCAGCTTAGGGCAGATACCCAACTTCCTGATGGCCGAAGTCATGCAAGATGAAACATGCCAAAAGCATCTCAGGGTGGCCTTCCCCAGGGCAGCTTTTAAGCTAGTTGCCCTGCACACAGACAGAGGCGGCGGCCGCACCACAGCACATACTGGATCCAGTCTGAGAAGGTAAATGTTCAGCTGTTGGCTTTTGGTGCTACACTGTATTACTGCAGGTTGAATGAGTACCGACAGTACTCTCCAAAATCAAAGCCATTCTGCAATGCAGACCACAGCACAAAAATGTATCTGCATGTATGGGAACACCAGGCTTTTGCATATGCTGGGTTTTTAACAAATAAGAACTTCTGCAATATCTTTGTCACAGTTTCCTAGCAGGACTGAAAACACTGCTCATACTCACAATAAAAAAAAAAATTAAAAAAAAAAAAAAATCGAGAAGCAAAAGCTGCTTTACAAGCATATACTTTCAACACATGAATCAAAAGAAACTTTTAACAAGCACAGTAAAGAAGTACCGGTGCGAGGAGACATGCTGTCCAGCAGCTTCACCATGCCTTCTCCCTGCAGCGCCGTCCACTTCTTGATTGGTGATCCACCTCCAATCCTGCTGTACTGCTCCTGGATTTTCGGTGTGCGGCGTTTGGCAATGAACGGTGCTAATTTACTAAAGCATTCAAAAGGTACACGTGTTAACGTCACAGCTCAAATCACCACCCCTTTCCCCAAATCTCTCTGTTGCAGTGGGTTTTCTGTGGCAATCTCCCCAAATCACAGTAAACCAGCATTGCATGGTTTGTTTAATGTTATACTCCATCACCCTTCCCAAACCTACTAGGTGACAGTAAACCACAATTTGCAAGCAATTAGAGGAGAATGATCTTGGCACGTCTATTTCCAGAGCATTATAACACCGTTTCTTGCACTGACTGGTCCCAAGATGAAATAGTCTTAAGAAATGCTGATATACACAGAAGTTAAACGTCCGAGCCTGTAGCTAAGACAGCAACACCCAACACTGACTGTAACACAGGAGTTCACAGCGTTTCTCACTTTTGAGCTGGAAGAGTCATTAGATCTCTGTCCAGGAAGAGACGAAGTAAGAAATCATGCACATCATCCAGTCGTTCTGGACCACCCATGTTTAACATCAAGATTCCAGTTTTAGGTTTCCTGTGGAAGCAAGAGATATTTCAAATCCTCATGAGCTACTGCTTTTTTTAAATTATTATTACAAAACAATGAGCTTATCCTTCTGTATTTGCCTTTTGCAAAAGCAGCATTCTATTTAGAAGCTCATCCTGCTTATGTAAAAATATGAACTACAAGCATGAATAGCCAGAGAACAAGTATTTACATGATCCTTACCTTTTTTAAAAAAAGTAACCGCTTTACAACACGGAGTTTAACTGGAAATACACTGAGAAAATTATCTCGCAGCTGAAGGCTGTACGGGAGGTCATAGCACAGGGCCAAAGGAACTATCTCAGCTGAACGCCAGCTGTAGATTCCAACCAAACCAAACAGCAGCTTCCACAGAAAAGAGATGAGCTACCCACACAGGTCTTTGTCTGCGTTACTTTGGAGACACATCTCATCTCCCGAAGCAGTGAAAGCAGCAAAGAGCCATCCTACACATCAGATAAATGCAGAGTTGGTTTTGTTTGGGTTGTTGGGGTTGGTTTTTTTTCCCCACTATGGGTTTTCTATCCAGATGCAGGTCTAGCGCACTGTTTTAAGGATAACGTCCCTCCCAGCAGAGAGGAGCAGACAGCAGTACCAGCTTTTACAGAAACGGCTGCTGATCACAACTCTCACCTAGCAGCTGGATTTCCCCACCAAATTGTCTCCCCTGCCCGAGGGAGCCCAGTGAGCAGGATCTCTCGCCTCCTGAGCGGGTGGAGCCCAGGTCACAGAGGGAGCTTTACTCTCCTCTTGTTAAAGCCAAAGCCTTACAAAGGGGCACGGAGAGGAGGCTAGGCCTGCCCCAATGGGTCAGGACCTCGGTTTCCATTCCCATCCTCTGCCAGTGTCTATCAGGAGGTTGCTGAATAAAACCCAGGAAGCAGGAACCGGAATCTCAAATAATAACAACATCCTGCTGTTCTTCTATCGCTTCTGCACTGCCTCAGGCCTTACCGTGGGGCACTGCCTTGCCGCATGCTGCAGAGAACAAGGCAGGCCACCCTCGCCCCACAGAACTGTGAAAACAAGAGGCTCGGTGAATGCAGCCAGCCAGATAAAAGCAATCACACACACACAAAAAAACCTAGATCAAGCCCCGTGACTGCCATGTTTTACTACATAACCAGCTTTGCTACGCCAGTAAAGCAGCACACCATATCAGAGAGAGACAGAGGGCAACGAGAGCAGGTCCCACCCATCCAGACCTCCCTGCAAACTTACCGCACTTCTGGCTGAATTTGAGGTTTTGTGCTTTCTGTCACCGCAGCTGCAGTCGCCTGACCTCTCCATCGTACCGGGACCCTCAGCTGACTGCTGCTTTTTACAACTGGAAGAAAGATAACAGCACATTGATAACCCTGCACCGGGCTGAGAAGCCTCTTCACCAGATAGGCACTAATCCCTCAACAGCTACATAAACACCCTTGGCAGTATTGCGCTGCTTGGCATTTTCTCCCTTAAGCTCCAGCTCCTGGAATCAAAGAAAGTCAGGAAATTGCAAGCTTCTGCCTTTCTTTAAACACTCTGTATACTAACAGCTTTTCAGATACCAGGCAGTAACCTAAAACCAAACAAAAGCCTCACTAATCTTTAAGCTCCAATGGTAAGTCCAAAATAACTGGTGACAACACAGGAGAAATTACACAGGGCCGACACGTTAAGGAAGTAATTATATCTAGCTACGTAACTCCTCGCGGTACAGATGTTACCTGGGCTAACTCTAGACAAGCAAGGTATTTCTACATCGCCTCTACAATGCAGGTTAGACATTTCTTAATCTAGGGTCCCCAGCAAACTTCAACAACAGAGGTCAGCACCTGCGAGCCACAAGCACACAGTTCCTTCGTTTGACCCTGTGTCGGGTACACCAAGCAGCAATTTCAGAATCCGTTTACCCAGGGACATGGACAGCCTTCTTTCTCACTACCCAGTTAGGTGACTTCTATGATTCCTGGATTTCAGCATCAGCCAAAAACCAGGATAATTTAGAAGTAAAGTCTTCCCACATCCACCTCCTGCTCCACCTCCTGTTCCTTTCTTGTCGGCCCCTTTAGGTACTGGCAGGCTGCTCTAAGGTCTCCCCGGAGCCTTCTCTTCTCCAGGCTGAACAACCCCAACTCTCCCAGCCTGTCCTCACAGCAGAGGTGCTCCAGCCCTCGGATCATCTCCGTGGCCTCCTCTGGGCTCGGTCCAACAGGTCCATGTCCTTCTTGTGCTGAGGACGCCAGAGCCGGACGCAGCAGATGATCTCTAAGGTCCCTTCCAATCCAAACCATTCTATAATTCTATGCTGGTTACAGCCTGCTTTTTCAAAAGCATACTTTGTTTTCCTCAGGATTTCATAGTCATTACATTATATTTTTCAGTGCAACAATAGTGTGAATTGTCCAAGATGAAAAACACTGTTAAATTCTGCATCCCTAGCTCCCCAGCAATCGTTTGGTGTGACACTTCCCTTGTCAGACTGCAGGAGTTCAGCAGCAATTGAGCCCCAATAGCAGAGACCTCCTCAGCGGCCGATCCACCCGCTGAGAAGAGCATCTTACAGTTCACAGTTCCCTAATAACATCCTGAACAGATGCTGAACGCCCTCAAAAGGTGCTGAAATCAATGACAGCAAAAAGCACCTTGCAAATCCAGCTTCTTACTCAGGATTAAGAGTGTGTAGCTGTGGATGCCTGTGTGTGCAGCGATATAAAAGGCTGTAAACTAAAGAACTTTGATTCAAGCATTGCTGATGCCTGAAGGGCTCTTTCCAAATATTTATACTCTTCTTCCAGCTCTTGGGTCATTACTTTTTGAAGCACCGACACTATATGTAAATTATACAGAACAATAAAAGGAGATGTTCCAATGGCTATCTTGATCCTCATGCACTATAAATAAATACTATAAAGCATTTGTTTTACTTAAGGTGAGGTTCGTGCATGTTTCTATCTGCATCATAAAGCACACAAAGCAGAATGCACAGGACGTGTGATGATGATGATCCCAGCTTGACGGACCATTGGTAAAAGTGTTCTTTTCTAAGTTTTTGAAATGGCATTATCGTATTAGCCTCCGGAGCCAAGCCCTGATAAAGCTGGTGACCTGATAAAGCTGGTGTGGCCGCAGTCCCCCGGTCCCTCGCAGGGCAAGCACACCGGTGCCTCTCGGAAGGTACGTGCGGTTACTCAGCCCTGACAGCGGTAGCCGGGGAATGCCTGACGTTCACCAGGAGTAAGGAAAAGAGCTCCTGCTGAGGGGGCACACAAAACGGGTTGCATTTCGTGAAACCTGCAATACACGGGTCTATGCAGGTAGCAGACAGAACAGGCACCGGGATAGCCGTGAAATCGACTTGCAGCTGTATTTATTACTCACGCTCCCTCACCCCACCTGGCCTTATTTCAGAAATGCAACTGTGAACTGTCCAACAACAATGATTTTTACACAACCACTTTCTGAAAACGAAAGTGCCTCATTTAAAATTAAACTCCTGAGAGGGGAAAAAACCCCAAACAAACCAAACCAACCACTAACAAC